TTGGCTGAAACTTTAAATAGCTGTAACTCCCTTGGTTTTCAACCAAACAGGATGGGATTTGGAACATAGATAGATATAATAGACTTCTACAAGAAGGTATGGTCACCATGCACATCCATACACGTGCGTGTACGTGCGCTGCAATCTGATTGGCTGAAACTTTAAATAGCTATAACTCCTTTAATTTTCAACCAAACAGGATGAGATTTGGAACATAGATAGATATAATGGACTTCTACAAGAAGGTATGATCACCATGCACATCCAAACACGTGCGTGAACGTACGCTGCAATCTGATTGGCTGAAACTTTAATCAGCTAGAACTCCCTTGGTTTTCAACCAAACGGGGTGGGATTTAGAACATAGATTGATGTAATAGACTTCTACAAGAAGGTATGTTACCATGCTCATGTATGCACGTGCGTGCACGTGAAATGAGTAAAACCAAAAATACACTTGAATGAGCGTATTTTTTAATACTTTTGGAATAAATACTTTAATATTTAGTATATTAAAGTATATAGATTGTGTAGACAAGATGATATGGTCATTACGCACATACATTCACATGCGCACGCGTGCAATGCTAAAATTTGAATGAACTTGGTACCCTTCTGGGTAAACGTTGTTAAAGTCTCAAATGCATAAAGTTTGTCTTATTTAATGAAGCTAACAGGGAATATGGCACCAAAAGGGAGATGGGGAGCGTTTGGGGAACATCTGTAACGGTCACCGTTACAATTAGCACTAGTTATTGGATTGAACTTTTAATTTTTATGTAAAAAATTACGATTTCCCCCACAGTGTTATGGCGCCATTTTGAAATGCGTTCGATTTTCGATCCCGATTTATATCTTGATTTTTTAATCGCGTACATATAATTTTTGTGTTTATGTTATAATGTGGTAAAAGGAGTTAAAACAAAGTTAATGTTTTTTAAATTGTAATTTAATCATATAATAGTTTTCAAGTGGGCTGTGTCACCGCTGCATTTCATCGCATCTCATGGCACTAATCATGCTAATGCAAACACGGATTATCACATCCACCACGAAAGGTGTTAATTGCTTTGAAGTAACTCAGGTGTGGCCGGATTAGAGGAAATAATTACCGTTAATTATGAGCAGTTGGGACCAGTATGGCCGTTCGGAATACAGAATAGACAGTATCCGGATTACACAGAATTTTTTCTATAGAATTTGTTAAAGAAGTGCATGGGACTAAAATTTATAGACGGAATGGACAAAAATCCGGAGTACTCAGAGTCCGGATTAGACAAATTTTACTGTATAAAACTTTTATGATTTTCCAAAGGAAATGTACTGAATAAAATACAAACATTTATAGCATGGCTTGTGGGCAAAATTTGACAAAAAAGGCACTTCAACTTGACAAATTTATAAGGGAATAATAGACATTTGCATCATTAAGAGTTATCTCTCTTATCAGAGTATCAATGTACCTTAAGCATTATCATAGTGTTTAAGAAAGCTGGTACTCTTCTTCTATAAAGTTCATGTCACCCATGAGTGTTGATTTCTAAGATAGTCATATGAGGGAAAAAATGTTATAATGATGTGTGAGTGAATTAAGCACACTTGTATAATTTAATAGCCTATCATATTAAATCAATTGTAGGATTGTGGATAATTTACCCTGTGCTACACAGTTCAAGATGATGGACTCAGATGAAGTCCAGTATGAGCATGGTTATAAACTTGGATTTGTTAAAGACGGAAAAGTAAGAAATTATGAAAATGATATGCACTTCAATGTTTTTTGTGTAACAGTATTGTTGCTCCTTATTTAGTGCATGTACATTTACATCCATATTTTAAATAATGGAATGTTTAAATAATATATTTATTTCCTAATTTTAGGTTTATCTAAACAACCACTTAAAGATGCATCTAAAATATCACACTGATGACAAGTAAGTCACTTGTAATTGTAGCAAATTGTTATCTAATACAAAGTCTTCATTGCATTAAAGACAGATTTAAGAGCATAAACACTGATAAAGCAAAAAAAAAAAACCAAGGGAGTCAGTAGAATACAGTAAAAGGAGAAAATATGGCGCATACGTATTTTAGCGCAAACGCAATTGGGAATACATTGGCGCAAATAAATTTTAGCACTTGCACTTGTCATTAAAATATATAAATGTGATATTGTTTTTTTTAATCCACGCCCGTATTTGACATTTTGGTTTGTCAAGCAAGGAAACACAATAGCAGTCCGGTATATAAGTAAACAATCGTCAACTTTGGTGTTGCAATCATATAGACGTGGCACAATGTTGAATTTTATTTTAAATAAAAGAAATGGAGTATTCACGCATTTTATTCGAAGGAAAGTTACTTGGATAAACGGTAATCATAATCAGGTATTGTCTGCAAGCTCAATCGCCTTGCTTGATTGCATTGTTTACCTTGAGGCGATAGATGATTGACACGCGGAGAAGCCAAACTTTGAAGGTGCTAAAGATAAGTATCGGATAACAACTAGCAATAGTTTATTAAATAAATTATGATTTGGCAGAACTTTCTTGATTGATCCTACCATGTACTATGCTAGTGTGTATATAAATCCAACGAACCTTGAACATTACGTAATTGCGCGTTTCGGTTTACGTGTACTGATGTGAAAGCTTTGAACATACACAACAAAATAATACTTAGAATTCTGTTAGCGCACAATAAATTTTAGCGTTCAGGGGCTCTTGTGCCAAAGGCACTAAAATTAGTATTGCGCCAAATATTCTCATTTTACAGTATCTGCATCAGAGTCACTGCATTTTACTCTTTTATAATTATTCATTGTACATTCGATTTTTTTCCCCTTTTTTCACAGTGAAGACTATAGGGTTGTGGGATTTGAAGTCGAGGCCAAAAGGTAAGCTTGTCAATCCTTCTAGATTTTTCTAACCCATTAAAGATAAAATACTAAGATTCTGGGGTAATTGACCAATTCTTTTGACTTGAATAAACTGTTCAGCAGTTATGGTTAAAGATTTTTTGTAGATTCGAAGTACTGTAGATCAATAAATTTTCACGACACCTTATTTTCGCAAGACAGTCATTGACTCTCGTATAGCGAGATATAATTTTCACGAATTGTGGTTATTGCTCTATGTAATCTTGAGGAATGCTCTCATACGCGAAAATCAAATTTTCGTGAGCACACTGTCTCGCGTAATTATGCGAAAATAGAGTTCTCGCGAATAAAAAGTGATTTACAGTATATGCTTCATTGTTTGTTTTACATGTTGCTCTTTGTTCATCATTTACTAATATTTTTTTTTTATTTAGTGTTCAGTATGGAGAGTTAAACAAAGATACTGACGGAAGATGTGACTACAAAAACAAGAAACATGGGAGTGTTGTTCAGCTTCAGGAACTGAAAGAAGGTACAGTGCAGTATAGACATTTAATTAATCATGATACAGTCTATATTATAACCTTAAAGCTATATCTTGATTAGGCAAGTGTTTCTTATCCTATACTTCTTATAGCCCCAGTGTCCATTGTGCTATCAAAAGTTGAGATCTGAGAGATGGTCATCTTAATTATGTCGCCCCGAACAAAGTCTGGGGCGACCTATTGCGATTGCACGCATGTTTTTGTTCTACGGGCTGTTTCTTGGAGATGGCTGGGACAATCTTCCTGAAACTTTCCTCAAAGGAAGATCACTGGTTGTAGTTGTGTTGTGTGGTCATTCAGTTTCAAAATGGCTACCGTTGCCATGGAAACCTGCAAAAAGGGACGAATTTTGTCTGCAAGTGTTCTCTCTGGTCCCTTGGACATTCGTCATGAAATTTTATTGATTTAATGATTAGTATCTGTAATTGTGCTTGTTGCATTTAAAAATTGCAAATTGTCAATAGTTGCCATGGAAACAGGGGAAAAGTGAAAATTCTTTAATGTTGATATTTAAATCAAAGTACCGAAAGTACTGACACGACTTGATGGTTGTCCAAGCTTAGCTAATGTGTATTGTTTTGGTAATGACAAAAATGAAAGTTTTCCAGTTCGGGGCGACATACGCTATTGCTTGCAATAGCAGACCTTCTAGTTTTTATTATGATAGTGGTTTCATTTACCTATAAAAAAGCTTCTTTTAATATAACTTTAGTTGTTCAGAACTAAACAACCACTAACATTTTAACCCAGACAGCTAGTGCTGAGTTTTTTGGTTTTTTTTTAAATTACAGGTGAAAACGAGATTCTCTATACATATGACGTCACCTGGGAGAACAGTGATATCCGCTGGGCGTCGAGATGGGATATCTACCTGGCCATGAGTGACGTACAGATTCACTGGTTCTCTATCATCAACTCAGTTGTGGTTGTCATATTTCTGTCAGGTATAAAGCTTAAATGTTTATCATCTAATAAAAAAAAAGTAAATATGAAATTATTAATTAATCAGAAATAAATCTCTGATAAGTACTAATGTAATACAGTGTGAAAGGAAAAAAATTAATACATGCAAGTGTTTCATTTATTTGGAGGATTGAAAAAAGAATTTTTTATACATGTATCTGAAGGTAGAAAATTGAAATTGATAAAAATGCAAACAAAAATTTGTTTCATTCTTGAATGTGTTTTATGAAGTCATTTTTTCATAGGTATATTAACCATGATTATGGTCAGAACTTTGAGAAAGGATATTGCTCGATACAACAGAGATGATGATATAGTAAGTGGCAGTAAAAATAATCAATTTTAAATGACTTTTCCTTTCTTGATCTCATTTCTACAATTCAAAAATGTGTTTGCTGAAAAAAAAATAATTTAAAATTCAAAAAAAAAATCTTCAATTCAAAAAAAAAAATTTATTGCCCAACTAATTAAAACTTTAACTATCAAACAGGAAGAGACTTTGGAGGAGACGGGTTGGAAATTGGTTCATGGTGATGTCTTCAGACCCCCAAAGTACACCCGCACTCTAGCCTCTCTACTGGGAGCAGGGATGCAGATATTCTGCATGGCTCTAATCACAATATGTAAGATTTTCATCATGATTAAGCAGATTTTGATATCAAAAGAATTGAAAATATTTTATCAAGTATATTTTTAGAATCTACCTGTAATGAAAATGAAAAATTGAGATTAGTGAATTTCAACCTGCCAAATCTGAATATAATTTTTCTCTTTGATAGTCTTTGCCATGTTAGGAATGTTGTCTCCCGCCTCTAGAGGAGCTCTGATGACTGCAGCTATCTTCCTCTTTGTTTTCATGGGGTATGTCGATCAGTTGTATAATACTCTGGTACATCATTTTTGTTTGACCTCTGATACGTGTCTCGTTAGACTGAATGCTTTAATAGTTGTTTTAAAAAACGCACAATAAAATGTTCATATTTTGGAAATCCATCCCCCTTTCAGTTGATAATTTTATTAGCTATTCATGTATTTTGGAACAGAAGAATAGACTGTGTACCTGAAAATTTTGGGTTGCCAAGTGAAAACAAATTTTTGAATTTTGTTTTTTTGGATTGCAAAGTATTATTTACTTTCATTTCATAGTTAATTAAATGTAAGGTACAGTTCCAATGTAAATTTTAAAAAGGTAAACAAAAGGATAATGAATATACATGTAAAATGTATTTGTTGTTTATAATATTAAGTCTAGCATAGTATGCAAATAAAATAACTCTCAGACCAAGCCACCAAAGTCATTTTAAGAAATCCACTGGAATCTTGACCTTTTTTTGTAGAATCTTTGCTGGATTTGTATCTGGTAGAATTTACAAGACAATGAAAGGACAGCAGTGGAAAAAAGCTGCTTTCCAGGTTAGTCTTCCATACCACATAGATTTTATTGTTTGCCATTTCAAAAAGCTTGATCACAAAATATGTTGTAATGTTGAATATTCACGCCTGTATGCTGTGACGTCAAGTTCAGCCAATGACAATATTTATTTCCATCACAATTGAAATCAACAACTGTCATCATCAGTTAAAAAAATATTTCGTTAAATGTGAAAGGTCACCTCTAAGTTCATTTTCGGACTATGCTTTACTTGCAATAGTTTAATGAGCTTTGAGATATTCTCTTCTCATTCATACATTTTGGCGGTGGTTTGCAACGATGGGGAAAATGAAGTGCTGTCCTTTTTAGAAATACATATATGCCTTTTATCAAAAATCACATCACAGTAGGAAGAGGTGACTAAACATATATTCTTATTTACAGACAGCTACTCTATATCCCGGTGTTATGTTTGGAACAGTGTTTGTCCTCAACTTCTTTATCTGGGGAAAACATTCATCTGGTGCAGTAAGTTTCTCTTTACTTTATTACTGGTATATGTTTGTTTTCCATAACAACTTGTTTCTTCATTATGTGGTGTTTCATATTTATCATGTTTGTACTATGTATATAAATAATAATACTCTTCAATTCCAGCTGCCGTTTACCACAATGTTAGCATTGCTATGTATGTGGTTTGGTATCTCTGTACCGCTTGTATTCCTTGGGTATTACTTTGGATACAGAAAACAGGTCAGTGCCTCATAGTTTGAGTTTGAGTGTGCTTCAATAATTCAGTTTTCATCTATATATTTACAGTTTGTGTTAAAAATGAGTCCTACACAAATATCGTAAAATTTTCAATGTTTCCTCACATTTCCTCTCAAGACTGGACCCTGATATACATGTATTGATAAACTAGAAAAAAATGTAAATAAAATGAAAATATTTGAACAATATAGAAGATAAATATTTGAATAGCAAATGTACATTGCAAGTCAAAACCATATTGTATCATAAATACTGGGTATTTTGCAGGGGGGGATAAAAACTTACTAATGTTGCTGTTGAAAATTTTAGCCCTATGAACACCCTGTTAGAACAAATCAAATACCAAGACAGGTGCCTGAACAGATGTGGTACATGAGTCCAGTTCTAGGGTAAGCTTGGTCAAGAAATTCTGAAGTTCAAATGTTAAAATCTTCAAAGTCATTGTTTATCAAGTATTTAAAATATTGTTTTTTTCTTCTTGCAGGGTCATCATGTCTGGCATCTTGCCTTTTGGAGCAATGTTTATAGAATTGTTCTTTGTTTTTACTGTAAGTATAATTTCAAGTTAAAGGACTTGTAGCATGTTTCTCCATTACTTGGAATTAAAAGCACATTACATCCCTCTTTTTCACATTATGTAAATTTTATGTTTTAACTTTTTATGTAGATACACACTGTATACCAATCGTTTACTGTATAATTAATTATTTATTAGGTCAAATTAAAAAGAAATGTTTTTAAGAGAGAAACGCATTTTTGGCCCATAACAGTATGATACATGTAATTGCAAATAAAAAAGTTTTTGAATAAATCCCTCCAAAATATTTATGATTTATTTAAACTAAAGGTAGGTTATTGTCGACAGCATGAATGGATAGGATTTGTGAATTTTTGACCTCAAATGACCTGGAAGGGGGGGGGGAGATATTTTTTCTGTTTCACACATGAATTAAATTGTTTTGTTTGAATTTTTTCAGGCAATTTGGGAGAACCAGTTTTATTATTTGTTTGGTTTCCTCTTCCTTGTGTTCATCATTCTGGTCATCTCTGTATCCCAGATCTCCATTGTGATGGTCTACTTCCAGTTGTGTGGGGAGGTAAGGTTACAGTTTCAGGTCACTGATCAGTCAGATATGAAGTAATGGATCAATTTCTCAGTTTATGAATTTCTTGTACGTTACAAGTCATCATTTTCTGTTGTATTCTCTGTGAATCAATTAAAATTTGTGCTTTCTATATCATATATCTTACATAGTTAACAAAAGATTTGTCATTAAAATTTGATAATTTTCCCCAGGATTATCACTGGTGGTGGAGGTCTTTTATTGTGTCTGGAGGATCTGCAGTCTATGTATTTGCGTACTCAATATTTTACTTTGTAACAAAGGTAAGAAAAGAAATGTTTTTTTAGTACCAAAATATCCATTTTGATTCCTCTAATTTAATTGAAATTTCATAATTTGTGGCATGAGGTAAAAGTAATTTCTTAATATGTTTTATCATTTTAAATTAAAAGTTCTCTCAATCTGATTTTCTCTTTAGTCAATGATTATTACCGGTATTTTGATACCACTACACTGTATCATGCTGCAATACCTGAAATAAATCAATACATGTACATGTTTTCTGAATCTATGTAGTTTTGTTTCTGTTATCCTAATACTTTTTATACGCCCGTCTTAAGACGGGACGTATTATGTTATAGGCTTCGTGTCCGTCTGTCTGTTAGCTTTTTCGTTTCCGGCTCATAACTTTAATACTATTAGTCCTAGGATTATCAAACTTTGTCATCTGATGCATCTTGGGTAGAAGGTGTGTCGCGCACAAAAAGTAGGTTGCTCTGACTTTTTATTAAGAAGTTACAGCCAAATATGGAAAAATCATTTCCGGCCCATAACTAGAAAACTATAAGACTTACAATCATCAAACTTGACCAGTTTATGCATCTTAGGTAGAAGGTGTGTTGCGACCTATTTCAAGGTCACTGTGACCTTTAATTTACGTGAAATTAAAAAAAAAAAGGGTCTTTTTACTATTCATTTAAGTATCCCAAATAATGTAAGAGTATTGCACTGTCCTTATTAAAAAGGTGTTAATTCAAGAAAATACATGTACTTATTTTTTTAAGCATATACTTGACAGCAATCTATAACAAATATAATGTATGTTAGAGAAATCCTACCTCTCCCTTGAGTGTAATTATCAAGCACTGGTCAAGAAGAATTTTGATAACAGAAAATTGCATGTCAAATTAGAGAGAAATTAATGAGTTTTGAGTGTGAGGATCTAACTGATAGAGCATTGGTGTTATCTATATCCCTTGGGTATTGGGCAGATGGGTAAGCCTGTTGGATTAAAAATAGCTCTTGTTGGCTAGCCTAAGTTTTAAAATTTGATGAAAAGTAATTAAAACTAATTTGATATTGCATAATAGACTAATCTGATATTATATAATATTATCAATTTAAAAACTAATTTAATGGGGTGGGGTGGAATCAGCATGTCCATATGAATTACATATTAAAACCTGTCGGACAAAAAATTTTTGTGTATTTTATATGTTTAAAAAAAAATTATGGTAGAAAGTGCAGACCCATTCATCTCTTGGTAGTAATGAGTAGACAAGCATCCAGTTAAAGATTAATTAATGAGTTCAATGTAGGAAGGCCAGCTGTCTCAATCACTCTGATCAAGCTGTATCCTTTGGGGATTAGAAAGAAGAAGTGCTGGTCAGTTTATAGCATATGTCATTTGATGGCCAGCCTTTTCTTTTCAAAATTAATTTGGTATAGATTAAAGGTGTTAAGACTGATTTGATATTGTTTAATATGATGGGCATTTGACAAGGTCTAACACAACCAGCATAGAAATTTATTAATGATGTAATATTTATTATAATTAATGCCTTCATCACAGGGAATGGATAAATATTTGAAGGAATGGAAAAATCATGGAAATCTCAGAATCAAGGTTGACGTGATTTTCTTGCATGCTAAACTGTTCAAGAAAATTGTATTTTTTTGACGGGCGTATCATGCTGTGGCGCGGCACTTTATTGGGTATTTTTACAAGAAATTTTTTCTGTTTTTCAGTTGGAGATCACAGAATTCATTCCCACCCTATTGTATTTTGGCTACACTCTGTTGATGGTCTTCACCTTCTGGATACTAACGGGGACCATTGGATTCTACGCCGCCTATTTCTTCATCCGAAAAATTTACGGGGCTATCAAAATAGACTGATTTTTACTTGTGCTTAGTTTAAATTATTTTAAATTGTGGTATAAGTTGAATTGCTCTCACTTGGTATAGAAAATAAACACATACATGACAAGCTCCACAACTGTCTTGAACAAGAATTATGTAAGGACAGTAAGTAAAGACAGGAAATACTGCACAACACTATATAACAGAAACAACGGAAATGTGACATGTTTCATCATTAAAGATAAATAGAGAGTGTGATATCATATTACATATATGCCTATAAGCATGTTATTCTATTTGTTTATTTGTACACAAATAATTATTTTTGTTTATAAGTTTCTGGAACTTAGTTCAATTTTCATTGAGTTCGTGTGTGTATATAAATTCCAAACACATTATATGGGTTTGGATAAGAGGGAAAATATTTATCATTGTTGCATCTTAATACAATTTTTAAAGGTAACACATGATTCATTCAATCAGATGAAAGTTATTTTCATTTTATTGAGTGTTCATTTATTTGGGGAGATCAGCATTATTGCGAAGTATGAATGTGTTTCAAGTTTTCATATGTTGGAGAATGTGTGAGAAGTATTTGTTTCCATTGCAGAAATGACTTGAATAGTAAGACATGATATTTATTGTAAATCATTGTGATGATAGTGAGAATGGTATTTATATCAATGAACTCTTTCTTGTATGCAGTGATGTGATCTGTACATTATACTTTTTTAAAAAAATGTTAATCATAACCTCTTGAGTACAATCTGTAAAAAATAAATAAATAAATAAAAAAAATTTTTTTTTCTTTTCCCATAAATAAAATGAATTCATGTTCTTTCAATCCTTTGTTGATATTTCTTTTTAACTAGTTAATTTTTTTTTTTATTTTCCTTCAAATGCATGACATTGTAGTCACAATAAACAATATTTAAAATAAACCTTTAGGTTACAACTTATTTGTACATTCCATAATTTTAATTTAATCTCACATTAATCACATTAATTAATACAGTAATGGAGAAAGTCCTTTGCTCTATAACAGAATATTCACCATTGTGATTTTGAATAGGCACAGCTATTGAACTCTGTGAGAATTTATGGATTTTTGATATTCATGTATGAAAGAAAGATAAATTCTGTGAATGCTCTTTGTTGAAGTGCTGTACATAAAGTTTGACTGTATTACATGTAATGAGACCAGAATCTGACAAGTCAGTCTAACATAAATATATATATAATAGTAATTGTATTATTTACTTACCATGTTTAGTGAATGAGTGTTAATGCTTTCATTTATCATATGAAATAAATGATTGTAAATAAAAGATGGTATTTGTTTTGGGTTTTTTATAACAAGGTAGGCTATTGACTAAAAGGTTGATGATAGAAGGGTATCAACAATCTCATTTTTTTATCATATTGTAGTTGATGCAATGCCCTTGTATTTTAAACAAAGCAGGCTGGTGACAAAAATGTTGATACAAGTGTAAAAAAAATGAATCTTGTATAAAGTCTAGTTTAGGATATTGTCAGTCGATATAATGACCTTGTTGACAATTTTCAAACGGAGTGGTATGCGTTTATTTCACTAAATTTTCAAATCGACACATTCCACTGTTTTCCACATTATGATTAGTATGACTGGTATTCTTCTACCTTCATCAGAAGATGCAGAATGAATGACCTAAAATTTGTATTATAATAGAAAATTAAGGTGAGGCAAGGTTTTTCTGTCAGATTGTCAGATTAGCAATATTTGCGAAGTTTGTGATTTTGGTAGCATTGAGAGATTACCCCCCCCCCCCTTCTTTCAAAATGAGACAGATGCAACTGAATTAACCCCCCCCCCCCAAAAAAAATAAAATAATTTGGATTCCTATATTTTATTGCAGAACTTTTACTCTTTAAAAATCACATTGATATCCGGAATTATCCGAACAAAACTAATTCATTAATATTAGACTAGGACTGTTCCATTCAGAGGAGTTTGGTGAAAATACACTTGCATAAATGATCCATGGAACGCTTATTTCATAAAACATTGTTTATATCAGAGAATGTTAAGACCTATGAAGATAACTTCCATGTTAATAAGGCTGCCCAGATTTCCATAAAACCGTAATAAGGAGGATGCCTAACCTGTTCGCCCCGCACTTCTTCATGTGTTTTCCACTTCCGGATCCTTTTGCATCGACCACGCGTGTTGAAAAAAAGTGACTGGCTCACCTCTGTTCAGAGAACTTATTTTTTCTTTGATTAAGTCGGCCAGAATTGACAAAAATGGTATTTAATTATGTTTTCTTAAATTAATTTTCGAAATAATCAATTTTTAATTCTTCTGAAGTGAAGTAAAAAGACAACTATGCTATGACAAATGGGGGGGGGGGGGGGGGGGTAGATAGAATGTTCCATCGTTAAAATGATATTGTCCTACGGACCCGGTTTTTTAGCTCACCTGAGCCAAAGGCTCAAGTGAGCTTTTCTGATCAAAATTTGTCCGTTGTCTGTTGTTGTTGTTATCGTGGTCGTTGTTGTTGTCGTCGTTGTAAACTTTTCACATTTTCATCTTCTCAAGAACCACTGGGCCAATTTCAACCAAACTTGCTACAAAGTATCCATGGGTAAAGGGGATTCAAGTTTGTTCAAATGAAGGGCCACGCCCTTTTCCAAGGGGAGATAATTATGAATTAGAGAAAAATTAATGGCATTTTTAAAAAATCTTCTTCTCAAGAACCACTGGGCCAGGAAAGATGAAACTCATGTGGAATCATCCTCAGGTAGTGTAGATCTTCAAGTTTGTTCAAATCATGACCCCGAGGGTAGGGCGGGGCCAAAATGGCCGATCAAAGTTTTACATAGGAATATATAGGGAAACCTTTTAAAATCCTCTTTTCAAGTACTTCAAATTCATGCTCAGTGATATTTATATGGAATCATCCTCAGGTAGTGTAGATTCTAGTTTGTTCAAACCATGACCCCCTGGGGGGTTAAAATTCAAGCCCCCCCCCCCTCCCCCCCAAACTCAGTAAACTTTCAGTTCCGATCTGATATGTGCTTTCTTTTAGCAAATTGCTCAGGTGAGCGATGTGGCCCCTGGGCCTCTTGTTTTTTTTACCGAGACACAGTTAGATCATAGGCGCTCCCCATGTAATTCTGTAAATGACGTATGATAAGTATATATAGGTCTACCCCTCTATACTATAAAATATCTTATAGTATAGAGGGGTAGACCTATATATACTTATCATACTTCATTTACAGAATTACATGGGGAGCGCCTATGAGTTAGATCATTCTAACTGGGGGGGGGGGGGGTGAAGACGGGTCCATTTGATTACAATATTGGGTATCGTCTGCACCTTGCTCTTTCACACACTAGCTGATACACTGCTAAATTACAATGACGTGATTTAGTAAAAGTTTCACATCGTTGTATTTCTAGATAGGATGATGAAATTAAAAAACTTAACTTTTAAACAGAAAAAAACACTGATAAATTCTTTTTTTACAGTCCCACTTTAAAGACTCCAAAGCTCCACAGGAGGAGGCTCCCATCCACAGAATCCGTATCACACTGACAAGCAGGAATGTCAAAAGCTTGGAAAAGGGTAGGATACTAAAGGAATTTATTAAATAGCAACCCAAGTTATACTGGATAGCCTGGGTTGGGGCTTAAGCTTTACAAAATATGAAGGTCCAACCCAGGTTATACCAGAGTCAGTATTTACTGACCATTTGGAAGAGAATATGGCATGTGATCTGATGAAGCATAATTTTTATCTTGTTGAATAAAACAGAGATATTTATTGGTGCTCTGTGAAAAAATTCAAAAATCAATGGGGAATTTTTGTGCAGTGTCTTCCAGCAGATTGAATAGTTAAAAAGATTGTAAGAAAGTTACAGTAACTGCCATGCAACTAGAGTTGCAAAATTAGACCAGATTTACTATGTTGATTGATTATTGGTTTGAATTGGCAGCTTAAAATGAATGGTTTGATCGATAATATGAATTTTATTTTAAAGGTTAAATTAAACAAGTTAACTATGAAAATTTCTGATATTCTCAGAAATGAAAAGAACATTTGAATACACATTTGTGAGACCAATTTCGCAGTAGGAAAATATATCTTCCTTTTGCAAGAGAAATGAAGGAACATCATTGATAATGTTTTAAAATTGTTAAACGATACAAGTTTTAGTTTTGTTTTGACTATCAATTTTAAAATTGTTACTGTTGACATGCTGCCTTCAGTGTCAATGTTTCAATAGTTGGTAACTAATGTAACAACACTACATTTATCTAGTATCATTGTTATTAAACAGTATAACAACTTTACAGGGATCAATCAGCTGATGCAATTTACATCAAAACTTTTTACCGGTACTTCACGGTTATAAAAAGGTGGCAAAAGTATCATTAAATTATGTCAACTGGAGAACAGTATTAGATTATTTTTTCTTCAACATTTACCATATAATACTCTCTTAATAAAATTTTGACATTTTGATTGTTTAGTGATCCTGATAGACAATTTTCTCCTCTTTCTAATGATATATAACATGTTGTTGTTCAACTAATTATTAGTGAAAAATTTTTTTTCGTCAGTGCTTAAAAAGCCTTTTTTTTTATATTTTTTCATGGCTGTGTAGCCTGTGTTGTAAAATCTGCATAAGAAAAATCACCTCTGACAACAAATAACATTAAATAAGTGATTTTTATTTAATTACATTGTTATTATAACTTTTTATGATCGATACTTTTAGCATTTTAGAAGAAAAATCAGGTTTTTATTACCCCTCCCCCCTTTAAAAGAGACAGGAGATGTTTTGTTTCTTTATTTACAATCATTTTTGTCAGATTTTTTTCTTTTTAGGGGAGTTTATCGAAGGTGCTTGTAAAATCTCAGTTCAACTAATACCAGAGACTTTTATGTGTGACATTAATATACACAGTTCAGATCAGATTGATAGTTTGAATGCACTTTTGCTTTTTTTTTTTTCATTGAACACCTGATCATGGTATGCACATTTCCTAAATGTTATGAATTAATAATACATGTACGTTGTCGGTATCTATAGTACGAAAGCCTATTAGGATCAATCTGTAGGAAAAAAAATTAAAAGGCGTTATAACGCCTTTCTGCTCGTCACATGAAATTTTTCTTTCCATTCCAAAAGGCGTTATTACGCCTTTATTATTTTCCAAAAGGCGTTATTACGTATATGCTGAATTACGCCTTTCCAAAAACAATTTCCAAAAGGCGTTATAGCATTATAAAAGGCGTTATTAGCGGGGCTAAACATATTTAACCCAAAAAAGGCACATGAATTTCACAATTAGATTAGAAATTTAATAAAGGAATAATTTAAACATTTGTGTCATATTTTTAACTGATATATTTTCAGAGTTATCTCTCTTATACAAGGCACACCTTTCAATGTACCTTAATTATGATGCAAATAGCATGTTTTTTCCAACAGAGAAAAACATCTTCAAATGACATGGCAATTTTAAAACAGAAATTTGGAAAAATTCAATTGGATCTTCAAAATGTTTTTCTTTTCTTGTCAGTGTGTGCAGGAATTAGAGATTTGCAAAAAAAGATGGTTTTAATTAAATCTTTCATATATTTAAACATAAAATAACAACTTTCCATTTTCTTTTTCCAGAAGGTGAAGGGACCTGTCCGTATAAACACTTTTGGGGGAAGGTTCTTTCATAATTAACTACCAACATTTTGTTGCAGTATGTAAAACTGTGGCAAATTATTGTGGATAAAGTTCCAAGACCTGGGGCCATAGGTTCCATTAAAAGATGCCTGTTAAATGCAAAATAAAAGTTAATCAAAAAGCGTAATAACCCTTTTAGAAAGGCATAGTAACGCCTGCAAAGTCCAACGCCTTTTAGATCGTAATAACGCCAAATAATGTTTTATCCTTTTTTTTATAATGCAAATTATTTTTGAATTTTTGTTAGTTTAAAAAGCCTTAATTTTTTTTCATTTATTTGATGCAATCTTTCGTATAAAAAACATTTCTTTAAAATGAAAAAAATAAATTCAAGACAGCATTTTGTCTGCAACATTGATCCTGGCCCTGCAAAGAGAAAGAGATAAAGTCACTTCCATTTCACACAGGATTAACTCCACGCTTTCCAAACACACTTATATGATTGCATTACTATATCCCCTCTGCAAATCATTGCAAGGGGATCATAAGAGAGAGAGAGAGTACATTTCACACATCCCCAAGGCGTTCCCTTTCTAGTAAACGAATTTTTTCAAGTGTTTCTTTCATTGCATCTTACATGTCACACAAATGTATGCTTTATTAAAGTAATTTCCTCTCTGACCCTGCATTAAAGATGCATATAACTTATGCTGCAAAATAATTTATACCCATAAACTTTAAATATACGGTCTTCATAACCTGCAAATGTGCATTTGTCCATCGTGGTAACAAGCAAAATCGATTGTTCTCTCAGTCTGTATATTTTACTTAAATGGATTCCATCCACCACATTTTTTCAATGTACTAATAAATAAAGGTTAATTTCAAAATAATTGCTTGTTTTTCCTGCTTGATTGTAGATTTTCAGTGCTTTGTTAAATCCTTATACATGCGTTTTTGTTTCAACTTTGCATATAAAAATGCATTTCCAGGAGTGAATTCATAGTTTGCAGTGTGACTAGGGTCCATATTTTTTTAATAAAAAAATATTTATCATGATCAGGATGAAAATTTCCGCACGGGATATGATTTTAATACGTAAATTTAGAGGGAGAAATGGCTGCTTTCTCTTTTAAACACGCGTTACGTGCACCTGGCGTGACATTCCCTTTGATATTAAAAAGAAATGATATATGAAGGATTGTCATATGTACACTTTAAAATAACACCTGATTTCGCCTATAGAATCTAAGAAGTTTCCCTGAAATACACTTTCGGAAACAATGATCAAAATATATGATCCTCGCACATAAATTCTGGACATAATAAATGCGGTGAAGTTACATGAACAATTGTTATTGAAATAATTCCGAGAGAGAGAGAGGGAACATTATACTAATAGTATGTACATGTACTAAGTATACAATGCATGGCCAAATATTATATACTCCGAAAATACTGTCAGCTTGTCAACAAACATGCACGGCGGAATTGCTCATAAAAAAGTCAAATTGCACCTGTCGTACATATGTAATTCTGTTGAGAGGGGTGCAGCGGGTCGTAAAAACAGCCTTGAATATGGGTTAATCCCACTGCATGTCTTTTTCCTGCTGTTTTACCCCCCCCCCCCCCAAGAAATAGGATTTTCGAGTTTGGGCATTTTGTTTTGCTTGGCAACTTTTTTTTCAGGTAAGTTAATTATTTTCTCCGACTGCCCCCCCCCCCCTTCAAAAACGATGCTAGGTCACTGTGTAATTGTGGTTTTGATTGGTTGATTAAATGACACATTAGAATTAATAGCTTAATTGGAGTAATTAGCCACATGCTAAATATTTCATCAGCTTCAAGTTTTATTTGAATCAATTTAATTAATTTAATTTCTATAACCTAATCAAAATATAAGTTGCTTATACCCACTCCAAACCAGTAGACTGTAGTATTGGGATACAGCACAGAGATTAAATAATTTCATTTTCATGATAATTTCTCATCTTTTCATAAAACATGTAGGGTTCATTCGTCTTTGATTAACTGATCGAATGATTCATAATGTTGCATTATTATTCCAACAGATTAAAAAAAAAAAATATCAGTTTGTTTCTTAACTCTTTTTTTTAGCAAATATTTTAAAAAATGAACAATTGACAGTTCCTACTTTCCCCTCTAAATAGTAAAAAAAAACATGCAAATAAGATATACACAGATACATGTACCCAAATATCTTTGGAGGAAGTGGTGAATACTGAACGCTTCCTGTTGCCAGGTAACAATAAATAATTATAATGCAGGTTACTTCCCTTCTTTAGCGGTATTTATACATGTTGACATGTTAACAAACAAATGTATATTATTTCATACACATAGGAAGCGATTCATTTTTTATTTCTCTTTTTTTTTGGGGGGGGGGGGGGGGGGGGGGATTCTTGATACCGTAATCAATATAGCAATTGAAGCAAAACAAAACGAACTTTTTCAAAGTTTCAGTATTTTTTTTCATTGTAGAAATATATAAATTATATTTCTGTGACCCGCCTCCCCTGTTGGTTTCTTCAAGCTTGTTTTCGATTTTTGGTACATAACGCTGTTTAGTTCGCAATAAACTTACACACCTTTGTATGAAATCCAATGCCTCGACTGTACACTTAAATAAGGTTTTCTATGATTTTTATCATAAATATAGAAAAATATCAATAAATAGTGACACAAATAATGTTGAATAAGAGTAGATCGATGTCCATTTTGTTGCTGCCCTCAAAGATAATATGCGATTTCTCCCCCAAAGTTGTTATATAAAAAGAAATTGTTCCTCGATATAAGGCAAAGATCTGATATTCGCTACTTCAAAGGATTTTCACCTTCAGTTTGCTGTAAATCATGATTTTTTTCATTCTAGACAGTGGGCTGTGATAATTACACTTATGACTACTCATTATGTTGTTTAGTATAAGCATTTACTGTATGAAGAAATATTATAATTAATAATGATGCGTTTTCACACTGCATTTATTTGCGAAATGCGGCAAACATTTATGACGTCAACTTTAGCGCTCGTTTTCTCGATAACGTCATAATGCACATAAGGGTGGTTTTCGCTTGACGGTCATCATATAATGCTCTCTTAATATATGTAGTCTAAGAATTTGTGATAAATTTAAAGTGCTTAAAAAGCCTTTATTCTTGACACGCTCCTTAGATCCACCTTTGGGACTTCTGGCTCTGACAGATTTCCAGCAACTTTATCGGTTGTTTATCGAAGGTGCTTGAGTCATAAGCGTGTGACATTAATATACCTCAGTTTTACTTCAACTTTCAAACACCTAGGATGCACATTTCCTAATGCGTGGTTTGAAAAATCAAGTAATCTGGGACACCTTAAGGTTCATAAACCCTCTGCTCACTCACATGAAATTTTTCTTTAACTTTTATGATTTTCCAAAGGAAATGTATATGCTGAATGAAATACAAACAATTATAGCATGGCTAGCGGGGCAAAATTTGACAAAAAAGGCACCTCAACTTTACAAATTTATAAAGGAATAATAGACATTTGTGTCATTAACTGATTAAGAGTTATCTCTCTTATCAGAGTTTCAATGTACCTTAATTATTATGAAGCATGTTTATGGCATTGAAAAAGAAATTTGGAAAAATTCAAGTTGAGTCTAAAATGTTTTCTTTTCTGTAGTGTGTGCGGATTTAATCAAGGGAGCTAAAGAGAAAGCCCTGAAGGTGAAGGGACCTGTGCGTATGCCCACCAAGGTTCTGCGTATCACCACCAGGAAGACCCCCTGTGGAGAAGGTTCCAAGACCTGGGATAGGTTCCAGATGCGTATCCACAAGCGTCTCATCGATCTGCACAGTCCATCTGAGATCGTCAAGCAAATTGTATCCTTTTTAATGCAAATTATTTCTGAATTTTTTTTAGTTTAAAAAGTTAATTTGTTTTCATTTATTTGATGCAATCTGTATAAAAAACATTTCTTTAAAAAAAAAAAAACAAGACAGCATTCGACATTGATCCTGATGCAAATTAAAGTCACTTCCATTTCACACAGGATTAACTCACAAACACACTTAAATGATTGCATTACTATATCCCCTCCAAATCATTGCAAGGGGTCATAAAAACACAATCCCCAAGCCCCTGACTAGTAAAACTTTTTCAAGTGTTTCTTTCATACTTACATGTACATGTATGCTTTATTCTTTTCTTTTTGCATAACTTATGCTGTCTTATGATATCATACTTTAAATATGCGGTCTGCAATGACTTCCATATTAACAAGCAAAGTTGTTTGTATAAAAGGATCCATCTTAGCTAATAAATAAAGGTTAATTTCATTTGCTGTCTTAATTTTCAGTGTATGTTACATACTTTTTTCTATCTCTAAAGATTTCATAATCGGTAAATTGCACCAGAATGCACAATATAATTATTATATGATGAAGAGTTATTCCCCATTTATTGCTCACTGTTTTCCTTAATTACCTGTAGACATCCATCAGTATTGAACCTGGAGTTGAGGTCGAGGTCACAATTGCTGACGCTTAATTGTGTATGACCAAGAAAAAGCAAATAAAAATAGAATAATTTTTTGTTGTATTTTATTTTTATGGAAACTTCGTATTCTAAGGTAGTCATGAAAGTAGGACTGGTTTCATTGTACTCCCTAGTACTGCTTACTTAAATAGACACAATAATTAGAATCCAGCTTCCTTATTATACAGAAGGAAATAGGGTTTTTCGGCTAAGTAAATAATAATATGGACAAATTGTGTATTTTGTGGGAGAGAAGGGGGATGGAAATAAGTGGAAGCTTAGTTGTGTCCCTGATCTAAAGTTGCTCATGTAACGAGAAATATTCTGACAGGTGTTTTAATTACCAAGTGGTTTACTTTTCATTATCAACTTTATCCCGAGAAAGCATTAAACCAATTGTTGGCAGAGTCAACACTGTATGAGGGATCTGGATCCCTGTTGAAGGAGTTAAAAGCATTGAACAATGCGTGTGAACTTTCCAACAGTGTCCGACTATATGACACCATTGTAACACAGAAGTAATATTTACCGGGCAAGTGTGAATTGTCACAATTTACATTTTTGCGTCTGACCTTTTAATTGAAATGACTTAATCTGCTTCATAATCTTTTTTGTCAACCTGTCCGCAGGCGGTGTTGTCATTGGGTTATGGGATAATAGCAATTTGCTATGTTTGTTGTCTTTGTAATTAAGAGGGGTTTTCATACCGTTATTATGTTCCCGAAAATGGACCTAAATTAATTTACAACATATGAGGAAGTTGGATCAAATTGGGGATGATCAGATCATGTCCATGCAGGATGGACATGAAGGATTTTCAGTATTTAGGGATTCGGAATGAAGAGAGCACGAAATGAAATAGGTCGGCCAAATTTTTATATTGGTCTGGATGTCCCTTTGTCATGATAATGGGTGTCGGCAATGGACAATACACGTGGTTTCATTCTCACGAAAGAACCGTTACAGAATTCCCACTGGGATTCATGACATTCCCGCGGGTCATCCGCGATTATCGTTTCTTCACCCATTGCCTCCGAACACCAACATTGTATGAACGCATGGGGGATGTCCATGTCTTCATAAAAAACGAAGCTAATTGAGTATTTGTGTTAAGTCAGCAGGAAAACATGTTTCGTCTACCATTTTTAGATTTTTTCCCACATTGGGGATAATCTTGTGTGTCCCATTAAACTCCGAAATCTACAGCCAATTTTCTCGAAAGAGCAAAAGGTCTCGGGTGACATGCTTTAATCTAAAGTAGGTTCTAATGAAAAGGTAAATTATCATAATCACCTTTCAAATTGACTCTCGTTCTACTGGTGAATGACTTCTACAAACAGGGGTTAAAAATCATAAGATGATGAATATGATAGTTTTCGTCTAAGGACCCAAGTCATAAAAGCGAACATGAAATCGGATCCTATAATCTCAGTGCGTTTGACGTTGGATTATGGCCTCAAAACAGAAATAAATTGAAGGCAATTTCAATAAAATAAATCGACATCAGGTTTTGGTGTATGAATTATAAATACGATTGATTGATAAATGGAAGTGATATAGAAGAAGGTCCTTAGTATGGTCTTTTTTAATCGTCTTCCGGTCTGATCAAATGTCAGGAGAAAAGGGGATAAATATTTCTTCGAACTTTTTGTATTAAAAAAAAATAATGATTAATTTTCTTTTTAAAAATCATTAAATTTGGGGTTTTAAATGCGTGGTATATACATATTTGACATGTATTGAATGTCACAAAATATCAACATGAAATTTTGTAAAGGGAAAATGTAGTTGCCACTGAGGACATTACATAAGTAAACATCACGAAAAATGTGTTTGTTGATATACCAATTAATACATGTAATGTACTTTTCAGTGTATTGCTGTCCCGTTTTTGATGCACTTTTACTGAAACCGTACTCACGTATAAGAGTCACGAGACCACAAAATGTCGGAAATAACTGCCAAATCGAACACTTGCAATACAACCAATTCCGGAGAAACTAGTAAACATCAAATTAATCATTGTTGCCAAACTATTTTCCATTTTAGCAGAGTTTTAAACTTTCTTTGATTTAAAATGAAATAAAACAATTCTTTGTAATAGAGACATTGCATAATTTGATGACGATATGTTTAATAAGATTTATGAAATCTTTCTGAAAGAAGGGTATTTAGCATATATTTTTTTAGCCTTTCTGTGCGAAAATATTGCCAAGTCTTTGCACGGTCAGTTCAATTATGACTAACGTGAGAATAAAAATAATTGGCACATAGATCAAATGAGGCATTAGTACTTAGTAATTATCAATGGTGACTTTCTGATTTTAACTTGCGTATATATGCATAATAAAAGGGAAAAAAGTGCTTATTTCATACAAAGGCCTACACAGCTTTAAACTTGAAGTAATTCGACTTTAAGAGTTGATCCCTATTAATTTTCTTTGTGTGTCGTTTAGTGACTTTTCCTTGCAGGGATAGGAATAAGGATGTGAGATTTCTATGATTCAGAGGGGACCTAGGACTAGGACACGTGCTAAATCACGCGCGATCTACCGGACCTGCATGTTCTTATGCACTATTATTAACTTATTTTCCCCTGTCTTCTGGCCATGTCTGGTGGTAGTAATTTACAACGCTGAATTACATATAGCTGTAAGTATACACCACATATGTAAATTGGACAATGTTAGCTAGGCTCTACTTCCAAATACATGTATATAATTAACAGATTAAGATGTCTTTATGTATATAAATGTCAAGTTACTATAGTATCTTTTAAGTCATGTGATTGTCTTCATCAGCCCTTTTCTTTTCCCCGAAAATGTCTTCACAGATTTTATACTTTACAGCTTTTACTTAATTTTGCAATTCGTTTACCTGCATCTGCATTTTCAAAAAAAAAAAAAAAAAAATGTCGGTGTTAATAGTGGGAAATATTGAGGGTATAATATACTGTACGTGCAAACTATGGTAAAACACATACAAGTTTTTGGTCGATGCAAAAATTTATTATTTTTTAAATGACTTTTTTTTATTTGATAGTACATATCTCCTTTCGATGCACTTTTGACGGCTCAATTTTTTTTTTTTTTAGATTGTTTAGCATGTCTTTTCTTAAAAATACAGGCGCAAGTAAAATCTCTTCAAAGTATAAGGGTTGCAAATCAAAATCGATCGATGAAACTTGATTTCATGCAATGTTTATATCGGTAAGAGAGGTGAGGAATTTAATAAGAGACATCAATCAATCATAAAGAGGAGGTCGTATTGACAGGCACCAGGTGATCAAAGGGCTCAGACATAAAAATGTCGGCTCCTCACAAACGGGCCAACTCTAAGCAGGGCTACAACAGCTGTTCTCTCATAGATCAGTTATTCTTCCCATAAGAAAGCTCGAATATATGTAAAAATATCTTCAAGGAAATGAAATATTCCCAGAAGAAAATTATAGTAAAAGTTTTCGCTTTTGGGGGATGACATTGCATGTATAACGGGAAGTATAAGATAAAAAGAGAAATCCCCTGATTTCCTTCATGGAAATGGTTTTTGGGGAGTATTACTTTTTATTATAAAATATTTTGTTAATTAATTGATGACACAAGAGGAAAATGAAAGAAAGGGAAGAGTAAGTTTAAATTGAGGTAGATTGAATCTGTAAATTTAAAAAATAATAATTTTGTATGTCATTGTTTTATAGGATACATTGTATAATTAGATTTGACATTCCTTTAAATTATTTTGAATTTTCACACATATGAAGAAGAAAAGTAAGAAACGTGTCCAGAAAATGAAGTAATTATTGCTTGACCAGGGGCTATGTATCAATTATGTCGTTAACAAGATAAGCGACACGTAAATTTATGTCTGACATCTAAAATTATACTTGTAAACACAGAAAACATTTCTAAGATAGATTCTTACACAATAGATATGATATTTAGGGGGAAAACAAAGAAAGAAAGTTTCTATAAATGTTGTCAGCTTACAAAAATACTGGTCTAAATTTACACCTGTGTAATTTCCTGTATCTATAGATGCATAAACATGTAAATAAGGCGTGTATATTTTAACGTTCGGTGACGGAAACTTCCATATAAGGAACTATGTCTGGATACGGAAAGTTACGAACCTTTGTTGTTGTTAATACCAATGAATACAATGACAATATGCCGCTGCTAAATCAATATTTTATGCCGATCTTAAACATGATTGAAAATAGATACCGAAGGAAACATACTTTTACCAGGTGCAAATGTTGCAACAGGTAAAATGCAAAAGCTAGGTATGTGTACCTGAAAGGGGGCGTTTCCAGACAGGTAAGGCACTAATTTTAGACATCATTGCATTTGCTCGCATGACGGCGCACAAGTGGACTATAGTAATGTGAAACACAAAACCCAGATGACCTGTTTCGCAAATCCGATTGTTATTTAGGAAACGAAAGTCAAAGAAGACAGTCGTGTGTGGTGTATGTAGTCCTGGGTTGTGTGATATGAAAGTATACTGTTTAATTATTAAAGCGGGATTACTATAAAGACTAATAGTGATTATCTGGCGAGTTGTGACGATACAGGTAAGACAAGAATACACCCTATTCCTGATAAAGAGCGGCCTATTACACCTCTACAAGGTAAATGATTCATGCCATAAAGGTTTTGCTCTTTGTAGGGCACGTTTCTCTCGTGGGTTTCCCACAGAGTTACAAATACACAGTTATATTACCCTCAAGAACCGTTCTATATGTTGTATGTATTACTTGTTTCTAATCACAGTTGAACTAGGGAAGATTTAAGATAACTCCATCAAAGTTCAAATCTCACCGAGGAGCTGCAATTGAAGAGCCGTGTGGCTAGAAAGAAACATATGTGGGTACTGATATTAGGTTTTAATTTTTTTTTCAGTTGCTTGGTGTGAATTGTCACAGCTAGTTCGAAAACAAAGTTGGAATTCTAGAATGAGAAATTGGATTGAACTTTGAAAGTGTGAACATAGTGACAATTCGGTCGATACTGAGCAATTCTTCTTCACGTTGTGTTTAGACGTTTTGTGTTG